ATATATATATATATATATATATATATATATATATATATGTGTGTGTGTGTGTGTGTGTGCGCGCGCGCGTGTGTGTGTATGTGTGTGTTAACAGATAAAATAAGATATAATTATAAATCTGAATATGATGCATTTTCATATCCAATCTTCAAAACTGATTTTGGATTTCAAATAACAAAAAAAATACGTTCATATGGATTTTCCAGGGTCATAATCACTTATTCCAATGTAATGTAAATTTTCAAATAATGAAATTCAATGCTCAAAGTTCCTTTTTTTGTCATTTTCTTTTAATTATAATGATGATTATTTTGTTCACATGCATAATCATCCTAAGTGTTAGGTTTCAATGTTTTTCTTTCTAACTTTTTCAAGTTTAATGCTTTTACTTTTCAATCTGTAGTTATGGACTTAAGAAGTGGATGCTACAATATCTTAATTCCTAATAAAAACATCTCTAAGGTGTCACGTGCCCCTCTTATAAACACTTCCATTCCACATGTAATTTTCTCCCATTTTCTCAAAAAATTCTTCCCGCCCACTGCATTAATCAAATAATTCAAATACAATCACAATCAAATTCAAATCAATATATTAGGAAACGAAATTTTATGTTTCTTATCAATCTTTTACCGCCCATACCTTCTTTGACGAATCCACACATTTTCCTACTAATCAGCAAATTTGTTACCATATTATGTCTGCATTAAACTTCATTTTCAATATATCATACATCATATCGCATAAAATCAGCAATGGTTTTTTTAATATGTTTATCTTTTTCCAAATATATCTGCTTCATAATTGGAATTAAATCGATTACAATATTAAGTTCTATTTCTTTCACTTATAAATTCAAAACCCCTAAATTCTTTTCCACAATTTGACGTCTTTCGCATTTGCTTCGTAGCTGAACCGAAAAAGACTCTGCAATTCTGGTAAAGCATCCCCAAACAACTATGTCGATCTTTTTTTTATCATGTATTCTTATTTTGATTATTTATATATTCTTCTCCTTCTGTTCCTTTTATGTATATGTTATCTTATAGGCAACCACGTTTAATAGATTAAAGTTTACCTGTACCACCAAACATTAATTGTTCTAATTATTCAATATTTTTAAATCATTCTCTGTAAACTACATGTTATTGATTCTGTGCAGAACCTAGAAGTGCACAAAAACTTTTTTTTTTGGGACCTGGTTTGGTTTTAAAACTTATTTGGATTGATCAACAAAGTCAAAACCGGACATAGCCCAAAATGGTTCAAATGCAAACTGAATTAGAATCAAAATAATTTGAACATATAAGAATATGTGTGTTATGTTCATCAGGGCTTTGAATTTACATATATTTTTTCATCAAATTTATATAATTTTGTATTTTTTTCAGTTAAATGGCTGCTCCTAATGTCACTTTGATTGCTGATGTGGATGTGCCGAGGGACGATTTGACTCTAAAAGTTTGTGTCATAAACTTGTGGAAACGTATGTCATTCTACAATAATGACATTTGGTCCATTGAGTTAATATTACTTGATGAACAAGTATCTTACACTCTACATATTAATGATTTTTTACAAATACACATTTAAGTACAATTACTTATATAGTTTATCATATATTAATTTTTTATAAGGGAGCAAGATCCAAGCTACTGTCTACAAAAACTTTATGTATCGATTCAAAAATATATTAAAGGATGGGTCGGCTTTTTACATCACAAATCCAAGTTTTGCATCACAAAAGCCCAGTAGTTTCAAATTAACTCCTCAATATCAGAAACTAACATTTGTCCAAGATACTGTTGTTAAAGAATATGCATAATTTTCTGGATCTAAATTTGGATTTTCATTTATTGACTATTAATATGTACTCTCATTGCTACATCCTCAAGATACATCTATTGGTTAGTTAGTATCTATAATTTTAATTATAAACAAAAAATTAAATTAATCATAATTATGTTTACCTGCTTTATATTATCTCTTCAAATTTCAAACAACTCTTCACTCGTTTGTTTTTTTTTCCTTTTACATATGTTATTGGATTGGTAGTTGCTATTAGTGAGATGATGAGGGCTAATTCTGATAAGTCTAAACACATGCTAACCATTCACATCTAATATGCAAAATTTGTTTTTTAAATCTTTATATGTGTAGTCTGTATTATGTTAAAAAATGACTTTTAATAAACAATTGTTGAATTTTCAGTGCCTTGCAACTTCGTGTAATTTTGTGGGGTGATTATGTGCACACGATGCAACATTACATAGATAACAATCCACCAAATCAACATGTCGGTTTTATACTTCATTTTGCACATATTAGTGTTTAGAGAGGCATATATTTTAATTTATCAACACACTTTATCATCTATGATTATTAAACTAATTATTATTATTTTTCTTACATATCGTCCGAGTGTTAACACCTACTTTACATCTTCAAAGCTGTTCATTAACTCCGGCATCGATGAAATTACTCTTTTCAAAAAAAGGTAACACATTTTCATGTAGGTTTTAATTATACAAAAGTTCATTTCATCAATACTAAATATGATTACTTTATATAATTTACAGTTTAGACGAGGATGATCGTCCTGATTTGTCTTCAAATACAATTTCTGTTATTGAATCTAAACAACTTTCTGAATTAGATGATTTCATAGTTAAAACTAAGTTGAAGACTATTGCAGAGATTTTTGAACTCCTTGATGTATTTATTTTAATTTTTTTAACTTGTAGATTGATATATCTTTTTTTTTAAATCTCTTTAATTGTTTTTGTTTCAATGGTTTGCAAATTTCATTTTATATATACTATAAAAACTTGTTTATATAGGAATGGAAGATAATAACTATATGTCTATATGTATCAAAATGAATCTTTAACATACAAGTATTAAATTGAAATTTACCTGAATAATGCTGCAATAACCTTTTTAAATGGTTTGTGATGCTATATTTGTGTAGACATATACTTATTGCAAGATTATTGCAGCATTATTCAAGTAAGTTTCAACTTAATATTTGTATGTTAAAATAAAGATTCATTTTGATCCATATAGACATATAATTATTATCTTCCATTCCTATAAAGACGAGTATTTATAGTATATATAAAATGAAATTTGCAAACCACTGAAACAGAAAAGAGATTTAAAAAAATACTATATATATTTAAAATAAATACCTCAAGTGGTTCAAAAATCTCAGCAATAGTCTTCAGCTTAGTTTTAACTATGCATTCATCTAATTCAGAAAGCTTTTTAGATTCAATAGCTGAAATCATATTTGAAGACGAATCAGGACGATCATCCCCTTCTAAACTATAAATTATATAAATTAATCATTTTTAGTATTGTTAAAATGAACTTTTGTATAACATGAAAATGTGTTACCTTTTTTTGAAAATAGTAATGTCATTGATGTCGGAGTTAATGAACAACTTTGAAGATGTAAAGTAGGTGTGAACACTCGGATGATCTATAAGGAAAATAATAATAATTAGTTTAATAATCATAGATGATAAAGTGTGTTGATAATAAGAAAATATATCTCTCCAAACACTAAACACTAATTTGTGCAAACTGAAGTATAACAACGACATGTTGATTTCGTGGATTGTTATCTATGTAATGTTGCATCTTGTACGCATAATCACCCCACAAAATTACACGGAGTTGCAAAGCACTGAAAATTCAACAACTGATTATTAAAAGTCATTTTTAACATAATATAGACTACAAATATAAAGATATAAAAAACAAACTTTGCATCTTGGATGTGAATGGTTAGCCGGTGTTTAGACTTATCAATATTATCCCTCATCATCTCACTAATAGCAACTACCAATCCAATAGCATCTATAAAAGAAAAAAAAACAAACGAATGAAGAGTTGTTTGAAATTTGAAGAGATACTATAAAGCAGATAAACATAATTATGATTAATTTAATTTTTTGTTTATAATTAAAATTGTAAAGACTAACTAACAAATAGATGTATCTTGAGGATGTAGCAGTGAGAGTACATATTGATAGTCAACAAATGAAAATCCAAATTTAGATCCAGAAAATTTTGCATATTCTTTAACAGTATCTTGGACAAATGTTAGTTTCTGATATTGAGGAGTTAATTTGAAACTACCGAGCTTTTGTGATGCAAAACTTGGATTTGTGATGTAAAAAGCCGACCCGTCTTTTAATATATATTCGAATCGATACATAAATTTTTTGTAGACGGAAGCTTGGATCTTGCTCCCCTATAAAAAAATTAATATATGATCAATTGTATAAGTAATTGTACTTGAATGTGTATTGGTAAAAAATCATTAATATGTAGAGTGTAAGATACATGTTCATCAAGTAAGATTAATTCAATGGACCAAATGTCATCACTGTAGAATAACATATGTTTCCACAAGTTTTTGACATGACTTTTAAAGTCAAATCGTCCTTCAGCGCATCAACATCAGCAATCAAAGTCACATTGGGAGCAGCCATGTAACTTAAAAAAATACAAAATTATATAAATTTGATGAAAAATATATGTAAAGTCAAAGTCGTGATGAACATAACACGCATATTCCTATATGTTCAAATTCGGTTTGCATTTGAACCAGTTTAGGTTGGGTCCGATTTTGACTTTGTTGATCAATCCAAATTAGTTTTAAAACCAAACAGATCCGGAAAAAAATGTTTTTGTGCACTTCTAGGTTCCGTACAAAATCAATAGCATGTAGTTTACAAAGAATGATATAAAAATATTGAATAATTAGAAAAATCAATGTTTGGTGGTATATGTAAACTTTAATCTATTAAACGCGGTTGCCTATAAGATAACATATACAGGAAGGACAAACAAAAAAAATTAGGGGATGCTTTACCAGAAAGGATCAGAAGGAGAAGAATATAGAAATAATCAAAATAAGAATACATGATAAAAAAAAAAGTCGACATAGTTGTTTGGGGATGCTTTACCAGAATTACAGAGTCTTTTTCGATTCAGCTACGAAGCAAATGTGAAAGATGTCAAATTGTGGAAAAGAATTTAGGGGTTTTGAATTTATAAGCGAAATAAATCATTCGAAGTTAATATTGTAATCGATTTAATTCCAATTATGAAGCATATACATTTGGAAAAAGATAAACATATTAAAAAACCATTGCTGATTTTATGCAATATGACGTATGATATATTTAAAATGAAGTTTAATGCACGCATAATATGGTAACAAGTTTGCTGATTAGTAGGACAATGTATGGATTCGTCAAAGAAGGTATGTGCGGTAAAAGATTGATAAGAAACAGAAAAATTCGTTTTCTAATATCTTGATTTGAATTTGATTGTGAATGTATTTGAATTATTTGACTTTTGACTTTTTGATTAATGAGTCTGACTTCGTTTATAATTCAGTGGAAGGGAATAATTTTTTGAGAAAATAGGAGAAAATTACACGTGGAATGAAGGTGTTTATAAGAAGGACACGTGACACCTTAGAGAGGTTTTTATTAGGAAGTGAGATGTTAAAATTAATTTTTGATTTATGCTTTACGTGTTTAATATCCTCTTTAAATTAACCAATATGTATAATAGATTGAAAATTCAAAAATAGTAGCATTAAAATAATAATAGTTTATACCAACATTATATTTAAATTAATAAATTATGTTGATAGTTGAATAGTTAACATTGAAATTAAAATATTAAATAATCTTAATATACTAAAAAATCACTTTAATATATATATATATATATATATATATATATATATATATATATATATAAAAGTTTATATACTCAAACTCACCATAGTACGTCGTTTTGTATCATGCAAGTATTGTAATCTTCCAAAGTTCTTAAAATTTAACTCCTAACTTGATTTACTTCTAAAATTTTTAGAAATTTCACTACTATCTTCCTTTTATATAATTTTTATTTGCAACTATAATATACATAACTTGGTTGGTGTTCAACAAAAAGATGTTGGTTGGTGTTCAGCAAAAAGATGGATGTAAGAGGAGAATAACAGGGAAATTTCAAAAATCATAAAGTTAAGAACATTGCAATGCATATATGATAAAAAACGACGTAGTATAGTGGGTTTGATTACCTAAACTTAAATACCTTGTATGATATATTCACTTTTTCATATATATATATATATATATATATATATA